ATCATGAGTGCCCCTCTACAAAGGTCAGAGTTCAATTCACACTCTCTTGAATTGACCCTGGAATTTTATTCATGAACTCAAAATTGCATGATGAAATAAGTCATTATTTTGTTTAAAATTGTCTGTTAAAATTGTTGCTGTTACCTGTGTTTCTTTTGGGAAACAAAGGGAATGTTTTCATAACTTTATTGTTTCCTGACATTTAAAGAAACAGAAATCAAACATTCAGCTGGAGCACAAAGTTATGAGAATACGGCTGTTACACTCGTACATTATTCAAAATTATTTTGTGCCAGTTTCAAATCTGATTGCAAAAAAGAAAGTGAAACAATTTACTCATTGTAGCTAACAAACACTGAACGTGAAAGCTGAGTAGGAAAGAAATTAATAGTGCTTAAAATTAAATGTCACTTTCTACTTGCACTTCTGTGTGCCCTATTGAGTAAGCAAAATATTGTATTGCAGTTCATGGATTTGAAATATGCAAATGAAATGTCTTAAGGGCTACAATCATTTGTGTCACTCCTAAAAGATACCTACAGATCCTTCTTGTTACTTCTGGCCAGCATACACAGTGAGTGGATGCCTATGCAGAACTTCAGGAAAGACATTCATTTGACTAAGCCAATGTAGGGAAAAACAAAAGTATGACAAAGCTTTTTATTGATGTCACTGATTGCAGTCATTGACCTTTAATAAGATAGCATGGACTGAACTTGCATGGAGTGCACACGTTTCTGTATTTCCAAACTAAATGCCTGCAAAAACATTATTAAGTTATTAGTGAGGAATATGCACGCAGCTTTAAAACTAGTTGTCATGGCATACTTGTCTTGTGTTTCATTAAAGTAAGGCCACATGGGGATTTGATTTTACAGAGTACAAGGGGTGTGCAAGTAAATGCATACAAAATGTTATATTTAAGGAACAGGGGTGAAGAAGGAGACTCCTGAAGAAGGCTCCATAGTCGAAACATTGTGTTTCTTTTCCTTTCAGCATGGAATAAACCTTAACCTTTTCTTTTGCAGCCTGCAGACACTGCTACCTACTCAGACTTCATGTTATATTTAAGATGTATTGTTTAAGGGTTTGAGGGTGTTTTTCATATTTAAATACTATCACTCGCACTCCTGAGTCATCTTCAAGAATGTGTGACTGGGCCCTCTGGGAAGCAGACTCTTCTTGACACCACATACAGTATTTACTAAATCTTAGTCTTCATGCATTAATCTTTGTTATCAGAATTATATAAACAGACTACATGCATATTTTTAACTACTTGTTTCTTTTTTGGACCTGAAGAATTCCTAAGTAGAATGATTTTAATGAGAACAATGTGAAAAATACAAGCAAATCTCTTTCGATAAACCTTGTAGAACAAGACTTTTTTTTCTGTCGGTCCTTCAAGTAGGATATCTGAAATGTCTTTATTGTAAAATAATGCAGTTTGGCTTGGTAGATTATGAAGTGACACAAACTGGAACCAGATGTATAGATAAGCATAACCAGGTGTTGGATTGACGTTGAAATGTGGCGAGTTTTCGTCCACTGCAGGAAGAACACAAAATGTCAATGGCAAAGAATCGTCTGAGAGTTCAAGGAGAGTGGTGTCACCTTCTGCACATGACCTAGTACCTCTGAGCCCTGTTTCTTTGCCTACAAAATTCAAAGCAATGCCGTATATAAGTTATAAAGCACTAGCTATAGTATACAGATTAGTGAACATATAAACAGAGGTGTTGGCTAACGCCTGGCCTGCAATGCAATCGTGGAAGGTCGAAAATAACAAACATGGGTCAAGCTATGAAATAAAGATTTTGGAGCTCGGGAGCAATGAACACCACAGGAATCTTTAACTCTCTAGGGCTGGTTTAATGTACATCTTGCAATGGACTGAACATTTAATTGATGTGATACTTTTAGAGGCCTTTGTTTGTACACACTAGGTTGTATAGAAATGGACTATGGATAAGTGGTAAACCTACCTCAGGCTGTCAGAACGAAATGTTCCCAGCAACTGAAATTAGTCACAGAAAGTGTGTAGGCGGCTGTTTTACTGCATGGGATTGGGACACAAGTAGACAAGTAGACGCAGACAACAACACTGAAATGTCAGGTGAGTCTTGACCATATTCCGTTGTTGCTGACAGTCAGTCATGATTAAATTGAACTTTCTCTAATTCATTAGGGGTTCCTGTTTTAATCCATCATTTAGTGGTTTTTCACTTTTCTTTTCTGGTTAATGAACTGAATTGCTTTACATAATAAATGTGCTAATTGTTTTATAAAAACAGCAGCCACACATTATTTACATCTACATTTCATTGTGTGCTTAAACAATGTTCTTCCTTGTGTACTAAAACACAGCAGCAATCCACCTTGAAATCATTAATTAGTTGGGCTGCTGCATGTATCATCCAGTAAAGGTACTCAATCTGGGAGCAGGTTGATCTCTATAAAGCAGATGTCGAACATCATGCATTTCTGGCAGATTATTCTGGTATAAGGGTGGATGAGTCAGCTGTGAATCTCTAAAATGCCCTATCCTATGTCTGTCCCGGCACCTGCAGCTTTCCTGTTACATAAGGAAGACGTGCAGCTTCTTTAGTCAGTGCCAACTCTCCTTTCAGGGACTGCGCAGCTTGCAGCCTGTGAGCCCAAGACAAATGTGGGGTTGGAGAGTCGTGTCTGCTTTTCCCTTTTTTCTGTGTGCTATTCTCTGCAAGCCACAATAAAACTAATTTACATGAAACAGTTAATTCCAAACTGAGTGGGCACAAAATGAAGACTGCTAATTTGTTTTCCTGACATTATAATTCAAAGAAACTACTTTTTTACTACAGTAATTCAGATGAAGATCTTTGTTCAAGGGTACAACAGCAATAGCCCACCTGGGAATTTAAGCACAATCTGCAGACCCTTAACCAATACTGAACTGAGTTGCCCAAAGATTAATTATGCAACTAAATTAACCTATTTTAATGTGTTTTCTTAAGGGTTATGATTGGTCTGTAGAAAATGGTCACCTCCTTACATCCTGAATATGAAATGTCAAAGTGTGACAATACCGGAATAAACGTAGTAATACAGTACATATGTGCTTGTCAGTTTATGTGCATGACGTATGATGGGTTTGAGAGTTTCAATCGCAGTGAGAGATGTGGAAGATGTTGCCCCCTGAAATGTTGTGATGTTGTTAGGGCTTTCAGAGTCCCTTGGCCCACAAAGACTTTCTAGGCTAAAGGAGCTCAACTAGTTGGCAGCGAGCACTCATGATTGTGTCATGGTAAACCCCAAAAAGGGAAGAGTGTAAACTGAATTCACGCCAGGAGAGCTGCCAGTCCTCTTTGTGTCACTGGGCTGCATTTCTGCAGCTCAATATGAATGACAGCCATTGGAATATTGACACTGGGTCTTGTAAAGGGTCCTTGTATGGTTTCTCATTCGATGATGGCTCTTTACAGAAGAATCTATGAGAGGCTCGCTGAGGTCCATGTAAGGGAACAAGTTAACATGAATGTCTCCACAAATTCATGAATGATCTCTGAGGAATAAATATATAGATAGATACTTTATTGATCCCATGAAGGAAATTGCAAGGCAACAGCAGCTGAACACTGACAACACAGCCACAGTGTAACGAATGGTACAATAATAATAATACAATACATACAATACAATCAGTACAGTGAGGGGTGCACTAAAAGAGTTACTCACAGTCCGGACACACAAAGAACAAACTAGAACAGAACAGTACGCAGAAAAATCGTATCACACATATGAATATAAATATAGATGTAAATATTGATATAAATATAAATATAAATGTATTGCATGGGTCCCTGGCATATATTGCACAAAAAACAGTTGTAAACAGGAAAAGAAAAAGAACAGATGTAGCAGTAGATGTGTAGATGTGTTCAGTCCAGAAACAGGTCACTGTCAATGTTGCCTCTGCCAAGACGCAAGGTGGATGCGTTGTACAGTCTTATGGCAGAAGGCAAGAATGACCTCCTGTAGTGCTCCCTGTCGCACCGTGGATTAATCATTCTATTGCTGAACGTGCTCTTCATTTCTACAAGCCTGTCATAGAGGGGATGGGAGATGTTGTCCATGATGGCCTCTAGTTTGGATACCATTCTCCTCTCAGCCACTACCTCCAAGGGGTCCAGGTCAGACCCAATGACAGAGCTTGCTCTCCTGATGAGCTTGTTCAGCCTTTTAGAATCCACTGCTCTAATCCCAGGGCCCCAGCATACCACTGCGTAGAAAATGGCGCTCGCTACCACTGACTGATAGAACATCATAATTCAATTTAATAAAATATGTAGTTAGGTAGTCTATTAATATTAGTTATTAGCTAAATAAATGATACATATATTCATAGCCTTGTAAGATTGAGTTGATCTGTAAGAGGGTGGCAACCTTCATCTTAGCTTAGGATAAGGTAAAAGAACTATTCTCTTTCTTCTGTAGTGTTGACTCTTTGAAGACCTTGAAGCTGCAGCAGATGGTGTTCTTACAGATATAGTCACGAAGAGGTTTATAAGGTATTACATAACACAGTAGATGCTTAAATGAGGACTGAAGGAAAGAAAAAACTCAAGTGCCACTCTGTTCAAGTTCAATTCTAGATTCGTCCTTTTTTTATGTAATGAACTGGGTTATGAGGGCTGAACATGTGGTTTCTGCTCATAGTCCATTTAACCTTGGAGAGAAGAAAAAGCAGTTGTCCCAGCTACATCGTGGAAATGAAATCACGATACACCACAACCCCAGTAACGCTGCTAAGAAATGAAAGAAAACTTGGCCATTCAATAGATGATAACACTCAAAATAGGTGTGGTATGGAATAGGAAACAAATTAACTAGAGTGAGTTTCTCTGAGCTGTAAGAGAGGACTCCACTCCCAGATTTCTGCCTGCACTGCATAATTTTATGCAGTCAAGTCTTAAAAGGTTTAATTATTTATTATAGTTCTTATTTCTTTTCTCTTTCAGTATTTGGGATGTATAGAGGTTCTGCGCTCCATGAGGTCACTAGACTTTAACACAAGATCACAAATTACGAGGTGAGGGATAACAAGTTCATTCATCTGGTCTGAATAAGTATCTTGAACCAAAATTTCTAAAACACTACAAAGGCCACGTTTTACAGTACTGTATTTAAAAAAAATAAAATTGGACTGTGACAATCTTTGCAGGACACCCCTTATCCCGTTTCTGCTCATTCCCCAGGGAAGCTATCAGTCGAGTCTATGAAGCTGTGCCAGGTGCCAAAGGAGCATTTCGTAAAAGAAAGGTAAACAGTTCCTCTTTGACTCACTGCTATATGAAACCTTATGATAGTCTTAACGCTTTTGCCAAAGTTAAGAATTTTATTAAAAGCAGTCCTAATTTGACATAAATGTACAGGATGCCCATAGAACAAAGTAATTTGCTGTGAAATGTTACTAATAAAGTCTGGAATAAAGAGCTGTCTTCGTGTAAGGAGTGATGTGATTAATTTGTTCCATTACTGATTATGCTATTTCACTCCACAGCCCCCTAGTAAAGCCCTCTCCAGCATTCTTGGAAAGAGCAACCTCCAGTTTGCAGGAATGAGTATTACTCTGAACATCTCGACTACCAGTCTGAACCTGATGACACCAGACTCCAAACAGGTAGGGCCGCATTGAGTTTTTCACTGTCAGTGGGTCTACCCATATAAAGATATGGTAAAAGAAGAATAATGTGTATTAATAATGTGTTTAGGAAAAAACACAAGACAGTACAGATTTTTACAATAAACCATAAACCATAGGTTACTACAACAATGAAAAGTAGCACTGGTAAAGCCATTGCAAAAACTGAGAAAAAAGATAGCAAATGTTCCATGGTGAACTGTGAAAAGGGTGAATGTCTGTCATTATTTTATCACTCAGATCCGTACAGAATAAAAACCTTGAGAAATGTGTTTGCCACTCTAGTTTTTCATTTTTTTCTCAGCTGCACTACACTACTGAGCTGCTTCATTTACACCAGAGATAGTTTCTAAACACAAGAGATAGTAATGCATCTTGTTCTTTAACAATTGAAATAATTGAAACAATTTAAAAAGGGTAAGAAGAATAAAACAAATTGACTTAATGATAGTCTTAAGTCCTATTGTGAAATAATTATTTTTACATAAAAAACACATAAACAAGAAAGGATGAAAGCTAGGCACAAACGTCTGCTTACAAGACGAACAAATGTAATATTTAGAAAAGCAAACGTTAGAGAAAACATAAGTCAACTGATCATACGGCTTATCACTTGCACTTCAAATCTAATATATTTTAATTTTGTTTCTTTCTCATGTTTATTTTTCCAAGTTTGGGTAAGTTAATTCTACAGACATGTGGATATTGAGACTCTTATGACATTGCGCAATGGTACTTTTGGATACTTTAATGCAGCCATTCTTCTGGTATAGTGCGTGAGCCTTTGGGCTCATGGCTTGTGGATTCAACTCCCTGCTGCAGACACTGCTGTTACACCTTGAGTGAGGTCCCTTAATCCAGATGTTCCAGTCCATCCAGCTGTATAAAAGGAGATCAACATTACTATAAACTAGCCATTAATAAGCTATTTAAAATAAAACAGTAGAAAGCAGGCTTCTTCAGGTTTAATCCCAATTTTAAATTTTACATTCCTGTAAAATGTACAGTTTTATTCAATATATTTTTGACAGACAGGACACATGTAACAGTGAAATATTGTGTTGCAGGAAGTACAGAGAATGAGTAGTAACTGAATTTTTTTTTGTCATTTCTGTTCATAGATTATAGCAAATCATCACATGCAATCAATTTCCTTTGCATCTGGTGGGGATCCGGTAAGATTGTATTTGTCATCTTGAGAAGCACAATTGTGCCTTTTACTGTATATGTATAGTATTTATTATCAATCTCCCTATCAATCAATTTATTTACCTACCTGTCCATTATACAGTATATGTTTTTAATTGCTACAGATGCAGCCATTCAAAGTGAGCGGTACAGACACGTACCGCAGGTAAGATGACACGGGGTACCGC